ATCGTTTGACATTTGTAGAGGAGCCAGTTGCCATTCTAGCCAGAGATGTGAGGAGATTGTTAAGATTCTACTAATTAGGGTTGAGGTTCTGGTTCGATGTTCACCGTTCTTGGGTTCTTATATGCAATTCTTTTTAGTTATAGTTATTATGTGTACTCGTCGAGCTTATGGGGGTCCGTTCTGGTTTTATTTAAACTTGCGCACGAGTGTACCTTCTGGGCTTATGGGGGTCCAGTTAGGTTTAGTTTAGTTGTACTTAGTTTGTTTCTGGTATGCTCGTGTGCTTTCTTTTCTTATCCGCTTTGACCTCTCTGTGTCTAGATTCTATCTTTTCTTATTGTTTTTACCCTTTTTGCTCAGTCGGCCTATGATGCCTACTAGGTACCTATTGTTTTGGTACTCATGCTACGCTATGCATCTGTTTCGTGATGCAGGTCCCAGTACCAGTTACCAGCGGTGATTAGTTCCAGCCTTTTTTTGCAGCTGTGATTCGGCGACGAGGGCGAGCACTTGGCGTTTTGGGGTTTGTTCTGTCTCCTTCTTTTGTTTAGCTGGTCTTGTTGCTTTTGAGACACGCTCTGTTGTGGTCCACTTTTGGGACTTGTACTCTTTATTAGATAGCTCTGTACTAGTGACTTCCAGGTTCTGGGAGGGACTTCTGTATATATTTTTTTTTTTTTGAAACTAGTATATATTTATTTTGGGTTGCTTCCGCCTTGTTATCCTTGTTTAGATTATTGTTTTCGCTAGTTTCTGCCCTTTTGCTCATTGCTTGATGTTATGGGTTACGGGTTGGCTTACCTACTGGTAGGGTATAGTAGGTGCCATCATGACTCGAGAAATCGGGTCGTGACAACACCCCTACTAACATGTATGCATACTTCCTTTTTAGTGGAAAATGTTTGCAGAAAATTTTTTTGCCCCGGGTTGTGGGACTTGTGACTTAGTTCACATGTTCGAACACCAAGTCGTGCAAACTCAGCCTGATACTTAAGTGGAGAAGGGCAAGGGGCAGATCCATTATCCCCGAGAATCAAGCACTGCAATTGGTCCTAAGGATTGTGTGGTCAAAAAATATAAAATCTTGAAACTAAACAATCTTTAGGTGCAAGCATCACAATTTCCCACTAGTTTCACTTAAAATGATTTACAACAGTATACCCACAGCTTATCATTCTGTACAATTAGTTGCAAAGTTCTTGTCTTTAACTTAAATTCAGTTCAAAAAGACATTTTTACTAACTGAATCAAGTGAAATGGCTAGACTTTGCTGCAATTTAGGAACAAACTAAGTAGAAGTTATTCACACACAATAGTCTTTAGAAAAGGAGTTCTTCGGGTTTCCCACCAGTTGGAGCCCGAACTAAATCTGGATTTGCACCAGGAAGTAACACAAGTTACATGCATCACAATCAAACAGCACTCATCTGTCTTAGCAAACTTCCTCCCTATTCCCAAGTAAACGGACCAGATACAATCATAATCTCCAAATAGATAGAACAAGAAACAAAAAAACCCAGTGCTTATAACTAATTAGCCTCATAATCTTTGAAGACATTGATATTATTCATCATAAGACTAGTAAGCAAATACTAGAAATTAAGACGTTAGCCTCAAGATTATCATCAACATTTTCCTCAAAAGAAAGAAACAAGAAAAAAAAAAGACAAATAAACCTCTAAAGGGCCTTGAGAATATCTTCTACACTGCTAACATTGAAAGCTCCACCTTCTTCCAAATTCAACACCTCAACAACCCCATCATCCACAAGCATAAAACATTTTTACAATGTATAATTTCAAGTTTCAACAAGTCATTTCTTTGCGCAAGATGTTGAAATTAAACAGGACTCATCTGTCTTAGCAATATTCCTCTCAATTACTCCCAATTCCCACGTTCATTCAGTTTAAAAACTGATCAGATACAGTCATCATCTCCATATAGAAAGAACAGGAAACAAAAATCAGTGTTTTAACTAATTACTTCATAATCTTTGAAGACATCTTTGTTATGTTATTCAATCACAAGACTAGTAATCAACCACTTGAAATCAAGATGTTCGCCTCCTCATAATCATCAACATTCCCTCAAAAGAAAGGGAAAAAAAGGAAGAAAACTCTACACTGCTAACATTGAAAGCTCCACTTTCTTCCAAATTTAACACCTTAACAACCCATCATCCACAAGCATAAAACATTTCTACAATGTATAATTTCAAGTTTCAACAAGTCATTTCTTTGCGCAAAATGTCGAAATCAAACAGCACTCATCTGTCTAAGCAAAATTTCTCTCAATGACTCTCAACTCCCAAGTTTACTCAGCTGAAAAATTGATCACATACAGTCATAATCTCCAACCAAATTTATATAACATGAAACAAAAACAGTACGCTTCATAATCTTTGAAGACACCTGTATTATTCATCACAAACACTACTAATCAAACAGTTGAAAGCAACATTTTAGCCTCATGAATCATCAACATTACTTCTAAAGAGGGGAAATAAAACGAAGAAACTCTAAAGGGACTTGAGAATATCTTCTACACTGCTAACATTGCAAGCTCCACCTTCTTCCAAATTCAACAAATTTCAAGTTTCAACAAGTCATTTCTTTGAACAAAATTTCTCTCAATTACTCTCAATTCTCACGTTCATTCAGCTTAAAAATTGATCATATATAGGCAACAACAATAATAGCATACCCAGTGTATTCCCACAGAATGAGGTTTGGGGAGGGTAGAGTGTACGCAAGCCTTACCTCTACCTCACCTTGAGAGGCTGTTTCCAATAGACCCTCGGCTCAAGACAAAAAACAGAATCACATATAGTCATAATCTCCAAATAGATAGAACAGGAAACACAAAAAAAAAGGGCTTTAACTAATAAGGTTCATAATCTTAGAAGACATCTGTATTATTCATCACAAAGACTAGTAATCAAACACTTGAAAACAACATTTCAGCCTCATGATTATCATCAACATTCCCTCAAAAGAAAGAAACAAGAAAAGAAAAACACAACTAAACCTCTAAAGAGCCTTGAGAATATCTTCTGCACTGCTAACATTAAAAGATCCACCTTCTTCCAAATTCAACACCTTAACAACCCCATCATCCACAAGCATAGCATATCTTCTAGACCTAACACCAAGTCCAATAGGCTTATCAGTAAGGTCAAGTTCACACCCAATTGCCTTTGTAAACTCTAAATTCCCATCACTCAACAGCAAAACTTCATCACCAATGTTCAAATTCTCCTTCCAAGCTTTCATCACAAAAGCATCATTAACCGAAATACAAGCAATTGTATCAACCCCTTTCGATTTTAGCTCCTTCGACTTCTCCACGAAACCAGGAAGATGTTTCTGTGAACATGTTGGTGTAAATGCACCTGGGACAGCGAAAAGAACAACCTTTTTCCCAGATGTGAGGTCAGTGACGGAAAGGGTCTTGAGTTCATCAGATGAATCGAAGTAGGAAAGTGTGGAATTGGGTAATTTGTCTCCGACGGAGATTGCGGCGGAGATTCTTGGAGTGGTGTATGAAAGGGGTTGTGCGTTGCGCTTTGAGTGATGTACCTTGAATGGAACAGATGAAATGGAAAAAGAAGAAGAAAGAGTGGATTTTGGGGAAAAAAGGGAAATGGTTTTTGGGTTAATGGAGGATTTGTAGAGCTTTGGAAGGGTGAACATGGCAGCTGTAGTGGCAGCCATTGTTGTTGTACTCAAGAAAATTTGATTGGGTTTTGGGGATTTTGTGGCCTTTTTAGAGACCCTTTTTAGGATATGGACGGAACAAACTATGAAGGGTCAATTTTGCAAGAGGGCCAAAAGATTTTTAGGGTAATTGACATTTTCATTCTTGATCCCATCTAATATTAGTTTATTATATGAAAAGCCCATTTAGTTTTAAAAGGTATACTTTTGTGACATCATTTTGTAATAAATCAATTGAAGCGTAACTAATTCAGATTTGCATCACGTAGATCTCATTTAGAGGAAGCACTCTCTATCAATGATAATTACATATAAGTACTATATTCGCATTGCGTAGGAAACGCTACCTATCAATGATAGTAGCATACATACAAGTTTCTGTATTCAAATCACGTAGAACCCATATAGGAAAAGCACTATCATTAATGATAGTTGCATACATTCGGAAGAAACAATCCTTATCAATGATAATTACATACAAGTTGCTATACTTGGGCCGCGTAGAATCCATTTAGCGAAAGCGCTCTCATGATAGTGGCATACAATAAAAACTTGTTTTCATAGCTTGCATCTTCCGTCAATAGAAAAACATAACTTTTTTATTATATTAGTAAAGCGCTAGCGCCTATGCCTAACCTTATACAAGAGGTACCTTCGAGATAGTTATATACAAATGAAATGACTAGATTCTCCTGAAACACTAGTTCAATGACTAAATTCTCCTAAACCACTAGTTAAACTAGTCGTCCTATAAAATATAAGAGCAAATATCATTATGTTCTGTGGTGGATCTAATATTTGAAGTTTATGATTATCGAGTTTGTTACATGTGCATGTTCAATGAATTTCTGAATTAATATACAGGGGTTCAATTATTTTATTACATTTCACAAGATCAATTATCAAGTTCACTTCAATTTCTATATAACATAATAAAAAGACAACTGAGAATACAAAGAAACAAACAAAAAATAAGCAGCAAATTTAGCTGTTACTTGGTGTATAATAAGCACAAGATATTATATATCCTTCATTTTCTTGCCTGTCTTCTGTATACACATTTTCACAATACAATTTTCTTTCTTGTACTGTTTAACCTTCAAACATATTCATTGGAATATACACAAAGAGAACAAAACAGATTCGAGTCATCAACTCGAATACTTTATGCTGGAACCAAAAAGAATGAACAACTTGATTTCTCTTTACGTGTGAAAAAGAAGGAAGCTGAAAATATTACTGTTTCAGCGTTGCTTCCACGAGTAGTCTCCTTAAGAGTTGGGAACAAAAGTACCAATATGACCAAATCCGATGATGAAGAAGGCGAATGCTTGAATGAAGAGGTACAAGAAATAGTGATTTTTCCCAAAGGCGACGTCGTAACATCCACAAAAGAAGAGGTAAGCACCAGTGGCTAGCTCTAACAAAAGAAGTCTGTTGTCAAAAGAACAAAGAATAACTTAGTTTGAGTTATGGTTAGCCCTGTTTGATCTAAACGACGAAAGGGAAGTGAGTTAAGAGGGGGATTGTTTACCTGTCACCGACCCTAAATCGAGGTTTCTTAACTGCTTTGCTGGCTGATTTCATCTTGAGAACATCCCCTAGTTTCTCTGTGACAATCCATTCGTTGACTCTTCCTGCCTCTAACAATCCAATGAACGTAGCCTTTGTTCGATGTAGTGACATGACATTCTCGAAAAGGATCCAAAATATTATCAGATGGAACGACCTGTTGTCAAATAGGCACGAGCACAAAACCTCAGCATTTTCATGTTCACACTCAAATGATGGACTAGTAACTATATATTATTAGCTCTTGCTATAAGTATCACACATTTGTGTTTAAGTACTTGCTCTGTAGCTCATGAACGTTTTGATTATCGATCATCTTGCAAGGATCTGTAAAATCTAACAGTGTCTTTCCTATTTCCCTTTTCTGTTTATGTCACTCCGAGCAATGTTGCTCGGACTATCCTAAAATGATACCGCTCCCCTGTCGGATCATCCAAAAATGCACTACTTCTGGAGGATTCGACACGCACCAGGAGGCATTTTTGAAGAGTCCGAGCAACATAGCTCTGCTAAGTACTATTTGAAATAAAATCTTAACATGGAATGAGAACTGACCGTGGAGTTCCAACTGCGTTGAGTATTGTAATAATGGATGGAATGTAAACAGCACCCCATTTCGGAACCTCAACTTCAGGTACTAATACAGTTGCAGGTAGTACAACACAGTAGAACACAAATGTCACAATGTGAGCTACAACTTTCCTTACAAAGAAGAAGCTGTAAATCACATGAATCTTCTTCCACAATGATACTTTCTGCGAAAAGACGAATGCAACATAAAGGCACAACGGGGACTTAGCTAGCTCAGTAGTACTAAGCAGTTATAAAATTCACATAACAACGATTACACGAGGAATTTACCTTGTTTCTTATGATCTCCATAAACATTTTCCTGAAAAGATTGGCCGGGCCACAGGACCAACGATGTTGTTGATAGCGATACGCCTTGAATGTACTTGGTAATTCATTTTTCACCTATACAAATGAAGCAAGAACTTAATTGGAACTTCATGACTCAATGTCACTATAGTAAGTATGACATTTTATTTGTTTGTAAATAGGATATATCACTCGTATTTCGGATAAGTTATTAAGAGGAGAGAATTTAAGTATTACCTTGAGAGCAGAAAGGTACAAGAATTTCCAGCCCTTGAGACTAGCGCGGACAGCCAGGTCCATATCCTCGACTGTTGTCCTATCCTTCCAACCTCCAGCCTCCTCTAATGCGGCAATTCTCCAAACACCGGCTGTCCCTGTGTTGTTTTTTCACACACACATTGTGAGCTTTACTTCTATTCAAACCCAACAATAACAACTACTTTGCCTCAATTCTAAGCAAATTGGTGTCGGTTATATGAGTCCTCAGTGTTCATTTTGCTCCATTTGGCCTCTTAGGGATTTCAAAAGGATCAGTCTCAAAACATATTAATTACTGCATAAAATTAGCTGAGATAAGGAAAAATAGTTTTTCATCTCAGCGCTGGCGTGTGTAAGACTAGTGCATCCAAGCACACCGCAGCCAAGAGAGTCCCAAATTGCTTCAACTAATGGAGAGACAGACAGACTTCATTAGAATTACATTTTCCTAAACTTCGTCAATCTCATCTGCTAATTTGTTCCAAACTAGAGTTTCTAGTTTTAAGATCGCGCTTGTAGTACACGTGGTGTGAGATGTTTCAAGCTCGATATCTACTTATTTTTCCATTCCTTTGATTTTTAGTCCGTTAAACAACAATAACAACAACACAACATACCCAGTAGAGTGTACACCGACCTCACTCCTACCTCGTGAATGGAGACTGTTTCCAAAAGACCTTATATATGACTTTTAGTCTATTTGGTTTCCTTTTCGAACACGAGTAATGGCAAAATCTCAAATAAAAGCAAAAAAAACATTCTTTTGGACTACTTTTCTGTCCATATTATTGTCTTTTAAGCTCGAACTCTTCAAAAATATTGTTACACCATTCATGTCAGATCCTCCAAAAATACACTATCTTTGGAGAATCTAACACACACTCAACAACATTTTTAAAGAGTCCGAGCAACATGAATCATATCTGGTCTATTAAATTATTTTAGTTCCTTAGAGATTTCAAAAGGGTCAATCTCAAAACATTAATTACATGTATAAAATTAGCTGAGATGATAAAAAAGATAATTAATGGGAAAGCAATTTGTTGATAGTACCATTAAAGCCAAAAAAAGCATAGGTGGAAGAGCCCACTTCTTGCTCCACTGTGAAATGATAATCCAGGGACATTTCTTGCATCCTTGTCATCAAGCATTCATCAGCATTCACTGCAACCATTATACCACAAAATCGTAAAAGATACGATGTTTGGACCTAACTTAATATCAAAAGCTAACTCGAAAAGAGAAGATTGTCCAAGTCAAGATAAACAGATCATCAATTCATTCTCTAACCAATGTGAGCTTATGATTAATGTAACATTGTTTGAATTAGAACAAAGTTTTTTTTTTTTTTAAAAAAAAAAACTTTGATAATTTATGGTCTAAAAAAACTTTAATCCGTATGACTATAAATCATTTTATTAAAATTAAAGAAAAGTTTAAAGTTAAATTATTTCTAATTACATAAATATGACATTCTTTTTTCGACCAACAAAAAAGGAAAGCATGCCAAATAAACCTCTAAAACAAGCATGAATTGAGGATCCGGTTCCCCTCCATTACCCCTTTCCTCCATTTCGTCAAGTGCACGTCTAGATTAGAGACATGTGTCATATTTAAAGTTTAAAGGTCAAGATTATATCATATGAATAAATATCATAACCATAGTTAAGTCAACTAATTTTAGAAACTACTCTCCAAATTTGGTAAGAATTACAATATATTCCATACAAAATTTGATATTTATTAAATATCATTAATTTCATCTTATATTTTTAATTTACATTTAAATATTAAAATTATAGAACATGAAACATTTATATTTAATGTGATAAATAATAATCTTCAAAAACATTTGCATTTAAAACAATGTTATCTTCTATTTCACAATTTTTTTATTTTTTTTTAAAAACATATATTTTCCCCCCGTCAAACACAATAGCCACATTTTATCGTTGGAATAATTTTGGTATTTCAGGTTTAATTCTAAAAACCTTTCATCTTTTCATTAGTTTTATTTTTATTTTTATTTTTATTTCGTGTCTTTTATTTTTTGGTTTTTTTCCACACTTATAATTCTTAACTTTTTTGTTTTGTTTCTCAGCATAGTATATATAAATATTTCAAGAGCAAAGTTTACTAGTACATAATTTGTTTAGTTGATTCTCACTTTAAATATCATACAATTTAATATTTAAATATAAAAATATAATATTAAATTAATAATATTAATAAATATCAAATTTTGTATAGAATATATTGTAATTCTTACCAAATTTGGAGAATAGTTTTCTAAAATTAGTTGACTTAACTATGGTTATGATATTTTTTAATATAATATAATATTGGCCTTTAAACTTTAAATATGACACATGTCTCTAATCTAGACGTGCATTTGACGAAA